CGCCAACGCCAACGCAACGCCAAAGTTCTATGTGGACGGGCCTTAAGATAGATCGTGTCTGCGTCAACCTACGTCTACGCTACGTCGTTGACTGTTTGCGCTTTTGTTCGTTCTTGTAAGGACTTCGTACCGAAATTTCTTTACGAGTTCGTGTCAACCACTTCATATAATTTTCTTTGAATATTCGCAAAAAATTCGTTACAGATATGAGATACTCCTAAAGATTTCGTTAAGCTGTCGGGAACTTTGGTTTGCAGGTTTTATACTACATTTATATATGCACACATGTTTAATGAGATCAGCAAAAATTCGGAAGTCTTGGTTTTCGAGGAACGACGTTTCGATAAAAATATTAAAAAACAAAAACAAATCAGCGAAAAAACTACCTAACATCCACATTCGAAAATATTAAAATAAAAAAACAAGTTTGTTTGGAAACAAGAACAGTGGCAATCATGCTCTAATTATGCCAAGAGCGCCATCTAGTCTACTAGCTGTCATTCGATAAAGTTTGCTTGACAGCTGTACGACGAAGACACGTATTACCTTGTTTAATTTTGTACGCTTTATTTTTCTTTCACGCAGAAAATGAAAATAAATTGTTGGAAAATAAGAAAGATAAATATATACTCGATATAAGAAATAATCAATTTAATTATCAAAGTTACAATAAACACTCGATTTGGAAGTCCACAGCTGGTGCGTGAGTTGCGAAAGTGCAAAGAACAACGAATGTACATATTTGCATATGTATATATATGCGTAAGCGTAGATTGATGAATGTTCAACATTCATTGTTGTGAATTTTATTGACAACACACCAAATTAGAAAGGAAAGCAACAGAGAAGAGTTGTTAGGACGAAACGCCCATAGCCCCATTCGTAGATTATGAGATGCCAACACGACGTCGTCATTACCAACCAGATACTACAAAATTCGATGCAGGATCGTATGTGGAGACCACACCACTAGTTGCACCTCAAGGTCAACAGCAACAACAACAACAACAGTACAAAAATCCGCTATTTGGCGGAGCTGTTGCTCCAACAATCAGTGGTAAGGATTCATTCGGTGGGAGTGGTGTACTGGAGTCAACCATTTTGATTGGCGACTACGCGCAGCCAAACACCAACGGTCAACAATATAACTTTAACAATAATAATAATTCGGCCGTAGATCCAGACGATAAGTACACCAAAGCAAGTAGACAGTGGAATCTACGCTCGATATCCACACGTTTACAGGCCAGTTCTGGCCAAGCTATACGCAACTTTATACAACAACCATTAAGTGCTGCGGCCGCCGTTGTAACTGGGAATCATCATCCGCAAGACTATAGCGGCTATAATCAAATCAGTCCATACGAAAACACACCACAAAACGTTCAAGAAATAGAAGAGGAAGATTTATTATTCGAAAAAGAAGAAATTTTCATTATGGCATCACGAGATCGAACGGGAGAGTTTAACAATGCGATACGTTCGCTGCAGTCTCGTAATATAACACGCGCTGTTAATATACGCGATCCGCGCAAGGCGAAAGAGGTGCAAAGTTACTCGGAATTTATGATGGTCGCAAAATATATTGGCAAAAACATAGCAAGTGCATATGCCAAGTTGGAAAAATTGACAATGCGTGAGTATAAAATGAATAGGTGTTCTTAATTATAAATATTACTTTACCTCTTCTTTTGCAGTGGCCAAAAAGAAGAGTCTTTTTGATGATCGACCGCAAGAAATTCAAGAATTGACTTATATCATTAAAGGCGATCTAAACGCGCTCAACCAACAAATTGCTCGTCTTCAAGAAATTTCGAAAGATCAGCGTCGTACCAGCTCGGGAAAACACTTGCAATTACATTCCTCGAACATGGTGTATGCGTTACAATCTAAATTAGCCAGCATGGGCACCGACTTTAAGCAGATACTAGAAGTGCGTACAGAAAATCTCAAACAACAAAAGGCGCGTCGGGATCAATTCGGGCAGTCACCAATCGCTGCTAGCACTGTTCGCTCGAGTACAGCGAAACAGGGCTCCTTGCTGTTAAGCGATGAGAATACGGCCGTAAGCATTGACATGGCCGCAAGTGATACAACACCATTGCTAGGTGCAGTTGGAGGTAGTGGAATACAGACGCAGCAGCAGATTGCATTATATGATGACTCCGATAGTTACGTGCAACAGCGGGCTGAGACCATGCAGAACATTGAATCTACTATTGTCGAGCTAGGCGGTATATTTCAACAATTAGCACATATGGTTAAGGAGCAAGAGGAGACTGTGGAGCGTATCGATACAAACATACAAGATGCCGAATTGAACATAGAATCGGCGCATGGGGAAATATTAAAGTACTTCCAAAGTGTTTCGAAGAATCGCTGGCTGATGATAAAAATATTCGCAGTACTGATATTCTTTTTCATATTCTTCGTAGTTTTCCTTACATAATAACAAATATGTTTGTAACACGGAGAGTTTTTAACAAAGTTCGGAGGCGCGGTCTTTAAGTTGTGGGTTTTTAAAAACAGAAATATATAATATCCTATTCATATACATACATATATATCACACTAATATAATAATGAAATTAACACCCCTATTGCGAGTGTCAAATAGTAGTAAGCGACTTTTAGTCGATTATCGATTATCCGCGGTATTTTCAAAGTCGTTTTTTCGTTCAATATGTGCGTGTGAATAGTTTATAGTCGCTCATCCTTCTACAAACAAAAAGTTATGGAAAAATGAGCGATAAAAAACTTCACAGTCGCTTATTGAACGAGAAATCGACATGCACAATACCATGGAAAAGCGATAATCGAATAAGAGTCGTCTATCTACTACTAGTTGACACTGACAATAGCGGTCTAAGTCTTTTATGCCACGTGAAAAACGAAAGCTTTTAGAAGCAGTCACGTAGGGTAATTCTGCCAGTAATAAAATATTAGTTTCACTTTTTTTTCAAAATTTTCATTAAAAAGAAGAATTATCCTTTGTAATAAAACGAGAACCGATTTATGTAATCATAAATATATAAAAAGTTTAAAAGTAAATAAAATAGAAATTGTTATTGGCGATAAGTACATGTACTTGCTTATTAATAAGGACATTCGACGGATGCTGAGCAAGCCTAATGAAAATAAAGAATCCTAAAATTAACCCTACAAAAATAGCGAAAAATATATCGCCGCCGAACTCTATCTGCAAAATGACAATGGGTCGTGGAATAAAACCTAATAATAATACATTGCCGCTTACACATATGTTAGTGTTTGGCCGAGCTTCTTCTCCGATTTGTGGCGTGCGCCTTATGTGGTCACACAAAGCGGAGGGACCTATAGTTTGACTCCGACTCCGAACGGCGATTATATTTTTATGAGCTGTTTTTCATGGCAGAAATACACTCGGAGGTTTGCCATTGCCTGCCGAGGGATGACCGCTGTTAAGAAAAAACCCTTTGTTCTATATTTTTTTTGCGATGTTGCTTTGACCAGGGCCTGAACCCAGGCGTTGCAGAGTGGAAGTGCGCACTTCTTACCACTACACCACAGCCGCCGAAACCTAAGCAAATGCTTTTTCTTTAAACTTCAGAGCTTTTACTCAATTTGTTCAAACAAATTGAAGTGAAAGGTATGCAATTTCAAGAAAAAGCAATTGCTAAGTTTTTTATGCGTACGGCTTAATATTTCCGGTAGGAAGCAAAAGGTCAGTATGTATAAATAAAAAGCTTTATCAGGGGAACGTGTTATACATATTTTCAAATAGCAAATAAATAAAAAATACATCGTAATGAAATGTTACAGCGAATATATGTATGTAGCGCAAACCCGTTTATTGCATGTGATCTGATGCCGGATTCAATTTATAGGTCTGTGCAATCAAAGAATACTAATTGCGTCAAATTTAGTGAATCCATTACAGTTATGTTTGTTAACATTTGAACATGTGAAAACTAAGCAGATGCTTTATATAAGCAAACTAAGCGCATTCTGATTGAAATCTTTTCAAAAATGTAAAAAGGCTAGACCGTTTTTAATGACCTCATACTAAGGAACGATATCGGCATATGAATTAAAAGAAGCTAAATCTAAGCATGTATTAAAATACATACATATATTTAAAAATCAGCTATATGGCTAAAGAAACCAGAGAATATTAAAACGTTAATTTTATCATTCCCTGCTGATACGCATAATACTTTTATCTACACGCGATTAGATAGTAAAAAATTTGTTTGTATATTAAAATGTGATAAGTTTTTAATCATGTTGATAAATCTACACATGTTTAATGTACAAAACTGCTAGTGATCAATGCAAGTATTTAAGATGATCACTAAATAGATTTATATTCCATTTTGTTTTAGTTATGTGTATGTATGTACATTTTCTTTTTGATATTATAAAGACTTTCATTTTCGTGCAACGCATATTTAACTACCAAAAACCAAGCTCATAATTACTTGGTTTGTTCATATGGCTTGTAGTAAGAGCTGTATTGGTTGCTGTTGTTAATTTTAGCTTTTTGATTTCGAGATCATTAGAATGTGCTTTACCTCTACGTAGAAATCAACGCATAAACCATGCTGTGAAATATACAAGAATAAAATGGCTTAATACATATATATGTAGGCTACATTACATAATCGTACTTACCCATAAATATAGTAGAAGAAAGATATTAGGTAGATAGCCAATTTGATCCAGCCTTCACGCATGTTCTTAGTTAAGTTATCTGTACTCAGTACCGTTGTTGGATCGTATAGTCCGGCGCCTGTCATGACGGGGCGATTCTTGTAGCTATAGTGATTAAAAAAAATAATATCAATATTTATGATATATTTTTAATGCGCCATTTGATTTTCTATGCATGAGAACAGTGACGCGATGATTCATGCAAAAATTTTTGCTTGGCATTCGCTTACATTTTTGATTAACTGCAAAAAGCAAATGCGCTTAACAATTAAAAAAAAAACAATTTTCGCTTCCATAAGTGAAAAGCACAGGTGCTGCTAATGTATAAATCTGTACATGCATGCATTTGTAGTACCACTTACCGCCATATGTGGTATGCGATTAAAGGTATATTAATACACAACGAGAACCATTCGCCACACAGTAGGAACAATAGATTGAGGAAAATATGGAGCAAATATTCCGGCAACACCAACTGAAAATAGAATTAGCATGAATTGCATTATTTTTACTTTTTATTGGTCGAGTTCAGTGACATCTTCTCAAGCTTGACGATTGTAATTTATCTTATATACATGTACAGTCATTAACTTACAGGATTCAGGCTGTTACATTGATCGATTGGATTCTTATAGTCCGTTTTTAGCTCATCAAAAGCGATTACATGAAATATTGCAAAAAATATTAAAAATGCATCGCCTATCAAAGCGACGATGTAGGTGAAGGCTGTGAAGTTGAAAGCCATTTTTAGCGATTACTGTACCAGGTGCGCGACTGGCTCAATCTTTATTACACGCTGTGACGCTAAATTAATTTGTTGATCTTGGTTAACAAGGCAAACTTTTAATTGATGCAAGATATAGCAATAAATTGTACCCCAAGATGATTTTTCCACAAGAGTCCAAAATACGAGGGTTTAGCAGATGACACCTTATATAGCGTTGCCAGACAACCTTTTAAAAAATGAGATATCAGTGACAAAGGAGAAAAAAATATTTTAAACATGAAAAATCCGTTTAAGAAATATTTAATAAATTTTTGAGGCTTTACATATGTACTTGTGTACATACATATCTGCATTTATGCAATATGAAAAATAAACTATTAACGAAAAATATACAACGGTACATAAGTTGGATTGTTCTAGGGCTGATTACATGAGTACTGGGTACTTGTATTCGTTTACTCACATGCAACTCTACATTTATTAATGCGGAACGGAACAGCTGACTTTGACAACCACCCCAAAAAAAGGGTTAAAGAACAATAAACCCCATCTGGCTGAAAATAAGCTTTTCTTCTCAAAGGAAAATTTTAAATTGGAGTTAAAATAGAAAATTTGATATATTCAAGTATTTGAGTTATGTAGATAAGATATATAACATACTCGGGATCCACTTCTCAGCACAGGTATGAGGTCAAGCGTTAAGCCAATTTAGGTGAATCTGTGTACTTGTTCGACCGTGAACCACACACAATTATCTTCGAGAATTAAGTACTTTCATTGAAAAAATTAGAAGAAATCATATATAAGTAAATTTCTTAGTACAATGTACTCCTCTGGTGCGCTGAATTGTGTGCGTTTTTATCGCATATTAGCGGTACTCATAATTTTTAGTTATCCAGTCACTGCAATTATTACAACAACTCAAACCGCATTGCAACCGAGCAGCGATAATGCTGTAAAGGGCGAAGTAACATCAACAAAAATTAACGATATGCCAGTGAGTACACGTAATGCTGACGCAGTGCTTGCTATGTGTCCCACCATGCTGAACTATGTTTTCGACAATGCGACACCACGCGATGAAGCAAATGCTGGCACTTTCGAAGAGTATACATCATTGGACACTGGTCTGGGCGAAAATGTTGATTCACTGTCCTGTTTGGCTGCCTGTTGTAAAAAGGCGCGTACCAATGATACCTGTAATTTGGTTTTCATCTACAAGCGGAAATGTTACCATGTACGCTGCATCAGCAATGAGGGCTGCATGCCCAAACAACGGCCGCTGGGAAAGGATCGTCTGCAAATGATGCTGGTTAGTCCGGTTCGAAGGCATGGTATTGATGATGACAACATAACTTGGATGGAAGTGATTAAGGCAATGAAGAGCAATGGTGATGATTTTGAGTTGATGCCTTCAGAAGGTATAAGCGGGGCTGAGCGACAGTCGAATCCTTTGAGGTTTTGGAATAAACAACATAAATTTCGATACTTTGGAAATCAAGTTAGTATACAAAGATTTCTTGCACACATGTCTTTAAAAATACTAGTAAAATAATTTTAAATAGGAACCTGCATCCTATGATGAAGAGGATTTTCCTATAGCCGAAAAAACGTGTAAAGCAGATGCTGTTGCCCCTGTCAGGGAACAGCGACGACTTGTCTTACTTTGGTGTAAATTCTGCGCCTGAAATAAATAAGTACGTTACATGCGAACTAGATTTATCTGATATGGGCGCAAATACACGTTGCGGGCCTAAAGAAGAATGTGTTCCTATACGGTCGAATTCAGCAACTGGTGTTTGCCAGTGTCTTGCTGGGCTTGTGCGTAATCAACAGCATGAATGTATGCCATCCGAAACATCGGCGGCTGATTATCCTATAATGGAAGAAATACTTTCACACCGACTCCCAATATCTGAAGCTGCATCAGAGTTGTCACCAACGGTTGTTGAGCAGAACAACGATTCGGACGCAGAACATGTTACCGGTACCACAGTTAAAGCAGAGGCTGATAAAAAATTGTTAGTTTCAGTAGTATCGAAGGAGGTGCAATTGCCGGAGAAGGAGGTGACACTAGCAGCATTCACTGTGCCCGATGATGTTTCCAGTGTTAGTAAATATAAGTACTTGTGGACGCTAATAACCCAACCTAAAGGACCAATGAATGGCACCATTTCTGATCAGAGTCAATCAAAAGTTAAACTCTCAAATCTTTCAGAAGGCTTGTATATCTTCAAGGTATCGGTGACCGGTGACAATGGCACATATGGAGAAGCTTTAGCCAATGTAACAGTGCTGCCGGAAAAACGCATAAATCGTGTACCGCAAGTAGTAATTAAGCCGAAGGAACAAACCATACGACAACCAATCAATAATGCCATATTAGATGGGAGCACAAGCATCGATGACGACAAAATTATTAGCTGGCACTGGGAAGTGGTACAAGGTCCCATTGGTTATCAACCTAAATTGCCAGAGGTGAATACACTGCAGCTAACCGATCTTACCTCGCCTGGAAATTACACTTTTAAATTAACCGTATCCGATTCCGATAATGTGACGAATTCGACAACGGCAAATATAACGGTGCTTAAAGGCACTGACTACCCACCTGTGGCCAATGCGGGTTAGTGTCCAAATTTATGAAGATATTTTTATGTAGTAGCAAAAAATTTGATACTTCCTAAGGTGATGCTGTAATTTTACACCTACCCAACAATAATGTTACACTGAATGGCACCGCGAGCACCGACGACCACGAAATCGTGGCCTGGGAGTGGACCAAAGATGCAGGCGATGACACTAAAGCTGTTGATATGCAGAACACGCGCACACCTTACTTACAGGTTAGTTTTATATTCTAAAGTTAAAAAAACTGACTATCAGACTTCCGAATTTTTTTTATTGCATATTTAAAAATAATTCTATAATTTTTGTAGCTTTCTAATTTAGAGGAAGGCATCTATATGTTCGTTTTAAAAGTGACCGATGGCAGTGGTCAATCCAGCACTGCCAAAGTCCATGTATTGGTTAAAGCGCAAACGAACACCCCACCGGTTGCTGTGGCGGGTGGAAATCAGGTAATGAATTAAGGACTATCTGTGGCCAAGGTTAATAGATAATTATTTTTTATTAACTACCCTGCAGACCATAAATTTACCCCGCAACTGGGTTATACTAAATGGTTCGGCCTCAACCGATGATATACGCATAAAAAGTTACTTTTGGAAACAGAACTCTGGACCAAATACAGCCGCGCTTGCGAATAACACTGCGGTGGTGAGTATAATAGCCTTTAATTTTGTATTGAATTTAATAATAATAAAAATTTATGGAAAGGCCACCAACGCTACATCTTTAACACTCGGCTTGTATGAATTTGTTTTAAGCGTGGTCGACGAAGATAACAATACAGCTACCGATAGTGTTTGGATAAAGGTTGTGCAAGGTGAATTACTAATAAATATGTGCATGTTAAAAACAAATGTAATTATGATTTGCTTTTAACTCTCCTTAGAAAAAAATGCACCGCCTGTAGCCAACGCGGGTGGTGACAAAAGTGTTACATTACCGCTTTCAGCGCTCTACTTGAATGGCTCTTCTTCTTCGGATGACTTGGCTGTGGAGCGTTATGTATGGACACGTGAAGAAAATAGCTTGGCAGCCGGTGTTGTCGTCGGCGATAGTGATAAAAAGGCAGTATTGATTGTACGTAAATTTAATTTTTGGAACCGCAGATTTTTTTTTTTCGGTTAAGAAATGTGCGCAATTTCGCTGCGGAGTTTTGCGGTTCTATTTTAATTAAAATTCGAGTCAAGTATGTATCTTATATTTTAGCTAACGAACCTTGTTCATGGTCGCTATGTCTTCAAATTGACTGTTTACGACGAACAAGGATTATCCAGCAGCGATATAGTCAGTATTATAGTGCATCCTGACCCGCTGCTCATGAACTTGGTTCAATTAACATTGCCTATGGATGCATCTGTGCTGACTCAATCTGAGTTGAATTCGATTGTGCAAAAAATTAGCTTACTTTTGGGTGACATGAAAATATTTGTACGCGAGCTTAAATGCGATGGACGACGCGCAGATTCAACGATTCTAGTTTTCTATGTAGAGGTGTGCTTTTTGTACTTAATTTAATATTTACTAATGACTTACTAATACTTTCAATTCTCTGTCTTATCAAGTCCACCGGTTCGGATGGGAAAAGTCTACCTGTTAGTGGTTTGACGGTTGAGCAACTACTCAAAGATAAGTTGCAGCGCGATGCGGGTCTACTGGGCACCGATTTTACAGATATACGCACAACTGTGTGTCAGAATAAATGCTCAGGTCATGGTGTTTGTAATCCCACAACCCGCGCATGCACTTGCGAGGCATTCTGGATACCATCTATAACATACTACTGGGGCATAGAGGAGGCCAATTGTGGTAAGTTGGTGTGGGGCATATAAAATTTAAGAAAAATTTTAACTACTAAATACTTTTTTCTTTATTTCTACAGATTGGTCCATTTTATATGTCTTTGTTGGAGTAATTATGAGCTTTCTACTGCTATCCGGCTTATTTTGGGGCATCACGTGTGCCTGCAGACAATCGAAAAAACCACCGAAACGACCAAAGTTACAAAAATATTCATTAATTGGCAATAATGACGAGGAGGCACCACAATGTTAGTTTTTTAATATTGTATTTACTAGTTTAAATTGATTATTGTTTATAAATATCTGCATGATATTTTTCAGTTTGTCGCACAACATCGCTGAGCGATTCTGAGACGGATTCCGATGTGCTCTTCGAAACACGCACAAAACCAAATGGTATTCTACGTTCTAGCAACGCAGCAAAACATAGTAAACATCATGGCCATGCACCAAATAAATATGCCATAACTAAATTAGGTCGGAAAGTAAAGACGTAAATGAGTGTGATAATTGTTCCTTCAGCTGTGTACTTTCTTTGTTCCTTTGTTTCTGTATGGATATAAGGGTCTGCATACACAAATAAGCTAAGATACATTTTATTTTTTAAGCTAAAACTGTGTTAGACAAATGCACTACAATGCAGGCATCTTAAAGGTCTTTAATATTATTGTGAAATTCTATTTAAGATGCATATTATTCTATATTTTTATTCATACATGCATACATATTAGGGATGTTTCGAATGTCATATTTTTCATATTCGCGAATGCGAATGCGAATATTCGGAATGCGATTGTGCGAATGCGAATGTTAGGAATAACATTAAAAAAGCTATAATTAACTGAAGTCATCGTTTTTATTACGTAAATTTTTTTTTAAATTATTAGAACATTGAAGCGAGTGCTTAACCTATACGGTGTCTTAATCTAGTAGTCAAAGTTCAAAAGGGGCATATTATATTAAAAAAAAAAAGTTTTGCTGCCATTTCTCCCATGAGGCGATTTCTTAGAGGCTCGTATATAAGGCCGGCAGCACTGAACAAATACTTGGAGCGCTCAAATATTTGGCGGGCCAGATCTGTCAATTTGTCGTATTTTATTTTAGTTTTCCACCAATCTAGAGGATTTTCACTGAGATGAGCTCATTTTTTCTGTAAGATAAGCCTTCAATTGAGCGTAATTTTACATTTTTATGCCTCCAGATTCTACATCCGAGCCTTCACTTTCTCTGGAGGAATCTAAAATTATTTCTATTTTGCTTATAAGACTTTTAGTAGGCCCATCAGTGTTGCTTATATACTACTTAAGCGTTTAGCACCTGAAGCTAAAAACCAGTTGTTATCCGTACCCTGTTTAGACAGACTTAGAGCCATTTCAACAATATTAGAGTGGGCTCTCTGCCCATGTACATACACATTCGCATTCGCAAAACATTCGTATCAGTTGATGCGAATGCGAATGTCGAATGCGAATGTGTACAATAATGCGAATCATTCGCATAACGAATGCGTATGCAAATATTCGTAACATCCCTGATACATATGTATATGTATACGTATTTTTAGTAAAACCGTAAAGCACTGAAAGCATTCCGCACATTATCAAGTATTAATCTGTTTATATTTTATGTATATCTACGTATATTTTTATATTTATGCTTTATCACGATATATGTATTGTTCTATATATGTCCTCCATATGCATTTTTATATTTATTTAAGAACAAAAAGTCAACAAAACGTGCTTTTTCTAACACGTTGTAAATGTGTATGTAATGTAATCGAGTCTAATGAAAAACAATTATACAATAGCTCTTTATGTATGAATGTACTTATAAAGATGAAACATTAAACTATTTACTTGAATAGTGTAAAACCGCAAATGCTTTGACTTTCATTCAACAAGACGTTTTTTTTGCTTGTCTACAGGCATTAATTTTCCGGTGTAATTGTTTGTATTTATATAAATTTTTAATAATTTATAAGTTAGTAACTTGAAAATTTTCGTTTAAAATTATAATACAAGTTCTTATTGTAAACATCGTAGAGTGGATGCTTTCGCACTACATATTCGAAGTGTAGCCACTCGCCGGCTATGGCACACATGCCCAGAAAGTAACCGATGCCAAGCGCTACAAATGAGCTCCATATCTTTGGCAAATCCATTACTGCCTCTTCTGGTGTACGTTCCTCTGCGGCGAGCTCGGCAATGGCATCCTTTAGCCATTTGGCGGTGAGACCTATTAATGAAAGTGGCATAGTAGAATTTAGTTTGGGTTTATTAAAAACAAATTTACATATGGTGGATGTCGCGGAAGCGAAAACAGCGTGTGTTTTAGTCTCTTCGACTTACCTCCTTCACTGAGGCGTCTCAAATATTTATTCACATTCGGCTGTAATGGCGAATTCTTTTCCAAACCCAAAGACACTGGCATTTGTATGACACACTCACGCATAATATGCAATACAACTTCGGCTATTTGTTGCTCCTCGCGGCGCTGTGCGCCTTTCATGCGTAAGTACCGCAAGAAATATTCATTATCGAAATAAGCATATTCACCTTTCGTAATGCGGTCAGTCTGAATAGGCATTAAAAGAGAGTTAAAGCACATTTAAAAAAGTATTTCGCTTCTACTCACCACACTTTCTATATCATCCACTATCTCCATTTTTTCTCCAACTTCTTGAGCCACCTCATCGAATGACTCCATAAAGAATTGCTTATTCTCCTCAACCCAAGCAGTGCTGGTTACATAGCTCTTGGACAGCTCTTCCAGGGTGTCAATAGTAATACTAAAGCGAAAACAAAGTAAAAGTAAAAAAAACAAGTAAGAGCAGCGCTGTCTTCGGCTATGCCGAAGGCTTCATACCTTTCATGAACATCTGCAAATTTTACTTTGACAGATTACTGCTTTTGAATACATCTGCATACATCGATAGAGGAGTTACATACTTATATAAAAAATCGCATCTAAACAATCAGAGGTATGGAAGATATACTTTATATGGCACCAATCTAAGTGATTTTCACTGCTATGTGATCGGTATGTAAACCGGTAACACAATTTATTGGGTTTAGTTTCCTACATAAAGGAGATATATGGCAAAAACTGGTATCTGAACAATCAGTGCTATAGGAGATAAAGCTTATACAGCATAGATTTTGATGATTTTCTCAGTAGACTTTGTATTATTATTTATAAAATATCTTACGAAATTTATCGGTTTTAGCTATTCAAATAAAGGAGTTTTACCGTAAAATCCCATATCTGAACAATCAGATGTATGGAAGATATATGTTGTAGTCATCCGATCCTTGTTATTTTCACTGTAAGTATTCTGTAAATAATGAGTGAAAGTGGTGCGAAATTTCATGTTCCTAGCTGCATAAATGGAGGAGTTATGATAAAAGACCTCATATCTGAACAATCAGTTGTATGGGGTCTGCAGGTTATAGTGACCCGACCTTTGTTATTTTCACTGTAAGTCTTCTGTTGATAATGACTGAAAACAGCGCGAAATTTCATGGTCCTAGCTACATAAATGGATGAATTATAACGAAAAATCTCATATCTGAACAATCAGTTGTATGGGAGCTATAGGTTATAGTTACCCGATCTTTTTAATTTTCACTGTAAGTTTTCTGTTGATAACTATTGAAAACAGTGCGGAATTTCATGTTCCTAGCGATATAAATGGAGGAGTTATAACGAAAAATTTTATATCTGAACAATCAGTTGTATGGGGTCTATAGGTTATAGTGACCCGATCTTTGTAATTTTCACTGTAAGTATTCTGTTGATAATGGGTGCAAGTACTGCAAAATTTCATGTTCGTAGCTGCATAAATGGAGAAGTTACAACGAAAAATCCCATATCTGAACAATCAGTTGTATGGGAGCTATAGGTTATAGTGACCCGATCTTTGTAATTTTCACTGTAAGCATTCTGTTAATAATGGGTGCAAGTGCTGCGAAATTTCATGTTCGTAGCTGCGTAAATGGAGAAGTTATAACGAAAAATCTCATATCTGAACAATCAGTTGTATGGGAGCTATATGTTATAGTGGTCCGATTCTTCCGGTTCCGACAAATGATTAATACATTATAAAAATACACCCACCTACCAAATTTGATCCGGATATCTCGAAAACTGAGAGACTAGATTGCATACAAACAGACAGACAGACGGACAGACGGACAGACGGACAGACGGACAGACGGACATGGATAAATCAACTCAGCTCGACGTTCTGATCATATAAGTATACATTTTGATGGGTCTATCTCTTTTTGTTCTGGTACTTACAAACATCGGACCAAAGTTATAATACCATTTCATGCTCATGAAAGGTATAAAAACAATCATAAGCTCTAAATAGCCAAGCGCTGACTGATTTTACCGCGCTGTTGGATTCGCCAGAATCGCAGTTAAACTCGCTCGATAGATGACCGTTAGCAAAATGCAATAGAGCCAATACCAGCCAGTGAGCACGCGTATACTCCAAATACGCGGTAGGCGTGGCAATGAAACATACATTAACATGCTGTAGGTGTAGAGCAAACAATTTGAGTATTCATCGAAGAGATCTACATTACGTTGTGGTAGTGATTTCAAACGGCTCAGGTAACGACGAAAATGTACGTCCCGAAACAGTTTCGCATCGAAACTGTGACATGGCCGTAAGAGCCCTTTACTGCGCCATTCTGTCCAATTTAAAATGCGATGAGATGAACGAATGCGACGCTGTAGTAGTATGGCGTGTAGGCTGGATATTATATAGAAAACTGTGCCCACAATGAATAGGGATAGAAGTACACCAGCCCACATGCCGCCACTAGAGGACGAGAGCGAAGGAAACGGTATGGAATTGGAGAAGTTAAAAGGAAAAAAAAACAAAAAGAAAACGGTTTTATTCACCTGAACGGCTGTATTAGGGTGCGCCAGCTATCATCCTGCGAGGACTCAGGTGTCAGAAATGTTAAACATTCGAAGCTATGAGGCCAAGAGAGATCCATAACGGAGGCATAGAGTTTATACATATGCAAATTACCAATGGCGAGACGTGCACTGCGATTCGCCTAAAAAACATAGCCAGGAAATGGTCGCGAACTTGAAAAAGAGGTCACGCACTATTCTACTGGAAATTAGAAATTATTTTAATAGGAGTAAATAGATAGACATCATTTATACTGCCGAGTTTATACATATAAAAAATTTCCATCGAAGAAAGCGAGATCAAATAGCATCACTGCTCAATTTATGTAGCACCGCGAGGCAATCATAAAGTTTCGGACACGGCCAGTATCAATTCCCGGGAGTTGCTCAGGGTTTGTTATAAACTGTGAACCAATATACTTCAATATTAGCCTCGTGAAAACAGCAGTACTGTAGAAAATGCCCATCGCATCATGCTCCAGGCAACTGCCACAAAAAAGGATCAGATATGGTTGTTTTTGTAGTTGTAGCGACCAAACCCCGCTTACTGCGGTTTGGCCATCAATCATTGTCGTTGAGCTCAACTAACGGTAGGCTAAAGAAACGAGCAGTTTCAATAGGTCCGGACCAAAGGCAGAGGGGTGTTTTTTGAGTGGGTTGAGCTGGCATGTAAAGAGGTGGTTGGTGTAGTGCGCAGGTAGCTGTTAAGACGGCTACAGTATCCAGACCGTAACTGGCCAGAGAAAGGCGGGTCTTTCTTGGCAGTTGAAGTTCCGCATCTGACACAGGTGGTGATTGGGCTCCCAATGAATGCCGTTGATAGCACCTCGGTACGTCGTCGGGTCCAGTGGTTGGACGATATAAGTCTGGACCACATCCAAGTATACGAATAGGTGCCCCCTTACTTACCAGGACGGAGGCTCCTCCTCTAGCAAGGGTCTGCTGGGGTGTTTACATATGTGGAATCCCACCAGAAACTGTTTGCTCAGCATTTTGTTGTGCTCCCTTACGGGAAGCATTTGAGCCTCGCTCAGGTAACATCAGAAGGAACTCTGTCGCCGCCGGTGTGCGGCGTTCTGACAAATCTATAGCTTCGCCCACTACGTCCAACTAGTCCCCGGCGACTAAACAGGCGCAGCATAGTTAAGAACCGGCCGACCAATTGCCTTGTATGTTGCCAGCAACGTTTCTTAGGCGAGAGACTTGAGAACCGTATTGTACATTGTTGACAATCCCTAAAATTTTCGGGTTGTTCACCGTCGAAATTGGCGTTCCATCAACATGAATGCCTAATTGGAGCCTGACCTCCTTTGTCCTTCTGATGAAGAGGGTCGCCGTTGATTTCGTTGGGGCTTCTTGCAGTGGAGAAGCGAAAGCTCGGGGAGACAGCGCTTTACTTTTGAGCAGAGTTCATTAATTCCATTCCCGGGCGCCAATATCGAGTAGTCGTCAGCGTATGAGATCAGAGAAATTCGCTCCGGTGGCTGAGGGAGTTTTGAGATGTAGAAGCAAAATAGTGAGGCGAAGTTGCAGGTCTTCCCACTTGCCGAATCCCCAAATTAAGGTCCTGTAGGCGAGGATCCCCGTGATCGACCTAGCGTAGGTGTTCACGCTCATTTGCTAGAACAGCTGCTTTGTTTAAGTTGATATAGGTCCGATGATCAGATATGGTCTTTAGGCCTACCGCATGAATTCCTATCAGACAGCGACCTGTCAGGTCTTGTTAGCATAAACAGCTCCTCTGATCGGAACTGATCTGACATAATTTTCGCCTAACGTTTGTTGAGATGGTCTACCTGTTCAAAAATGAACCGCGAGGGGTCAGTAGCGCTTTCATCCAATCTTTGTAGGCTCATATCGTTTTACGCCACCTCGTCAGATATGCATTTGCTAGTAATGCCACTTAGGCCTGGTACCCATATAAGCCTTATTAGACAATATTCTGATGCAATTGAGACGGAGGTGAGACCACCGCTGACTAATTTTAAGCGCATCATCAGTGCCCTTATGGTCCCATGGCTACCCGAGTATTGATGTTAAACTCATGAGCAGTCTGTCTACATAGTGTTTCTTTTATAACATTTATTTCTTCCTGAAAATTGCTACAGCAGTCTGCCAGCCTAGTCAAAATTAAGCTTCGAATTATCACTGAAAAGTTTACTGATCCTTCTCTCCATTCACCTTGCCCCAACCAACCTTTTCTTAAGTGAACGTGAAACGAGAAAAAACTGCTTTGAGCAATTTCAAAGACGCAACGTTTCGTGTAATTCGACATGAGATCGAAACATTCAAGAATCTTAGAGTGTCCCTGAGCTTAATTATAGCCTATGCTGCGACAGATTTGCCTGCAATGTCAATGTCTTGGAGCCAAGAGGCAGTGATCTGCATTCTACCACTAATACCAATGGAGGCAGTTCGTTAGCCCACTAACTGGTATATATGTATAACCCTCTCTAGCGAGTTCAACCAGATAAGCACTCTGTAAAACATAGAAGGCTTAAAGGCTCCGTTATGCATACTTGGCATGGCTTGAGAGCTGTCACATAAGAAATCTGTTAAATGAGCCTCGCGTGTAATCGGTTATCGAACGCACAGCACTACATACGTAGAAGTCTGTTGGTTTTTGATTTCTACGTAAAAATGGTATAGCAGTGCATGCAATGCCAAGTATGCATAACAGAGCCAGTGGTGCCAGATTGTGGGAAATTTCCCTATTTGAGGGATATTTTGCATCAAAAATTATTAAAAGGGAAAAAAGGCACATTTCATATAAATAAGGGATTTTTTTTTGACGCAGTTATTGTTGCATAATTGATCAAAATTCACGAATATTCGACATTCGACTTAATTAATCGTTCTGAAGATGTGATGTGGAGTGAAATGGTATATAATTGTTAAAAAGTATAAGGATAATTTCGAAAATTTTCTTACGTTAACCAATTCAAGCGCTGAGTAAGAATCTTTTCAGTTGTAACTGGTATTTCATGTAAAAAGCGGAACAAATTATCTGATGAAATGTTAAATAGCAGTGAGTGAGCAAAATAATGAAAGTGAAAAATTGAATGAGTGAAAAAAATGCAGGAAAAGGGGTTTTTTCTTAAAAGCGGTCGGCCCTCGGCAGGCAATGGCAAACCTCCGAGTGTACTCCTGCCATGAAAAACAGCTTCTCATAAAAATACACTCGCCATTCGGAGTCGGCGTAAAACTGTAGGTCCCTCCCCTTTGTGTGACCACATCAAGGGGACCGCTACAAATTGGAGGAAAAGCACATATGTGTAAGCGCCAAACTATTATTATAATTTTATATGAATTTTACTTCTATACTACTGAAACATGTATATGTTTAAATTCGTTGGGAATTTTGTGGGATAAATTTTCAAGATGTGGGTAATTGAGGGATTTTTTCACCATTTTCGTGGGATTTTTAACAGAGAATGTCTGGCATCACTGAACAGAGCCTTAACACTAGTGCACTACAGCTCTCAGAATCACATTATTATTAGGGATGCAAATTTTGGGGAGTAACATCGATGCATCGATGTTTCGATGCATCGGACAAATGAAAATCGAGGCTAAAATACATCGCCAGAAAAACATCGATATATCGATGGTTTCCGATGTTTCCAAATTTGTTAGGTTGTAGTCACATTGAAAGGAAAATTTAATACTTTTCAATTCATACTCTCTGTAATTCAATTAGAAAAATACTGACATGGATGTATTTCCCTGTATTTATTTACTATTCCTTTGCCCTTCCTATAAATATAATAAAAATGCATGCCGCCGTAAGTTCGCTGAGCCTAAAGTTCCAAGCCCCAAATTCGTTGAAATTTCAACGGGAACCCGGTCCTTTTTTTATGATTATGTACGCATTTTTAATATCGAAAGATAAGAGTATACACGGAATTTCTGAATTTTCCCCAAAAGAATAAGTAATAAAATTCATGGCCAGTCAAAAAATTTTAGGAGCATAATGGGTAAGTTGAATTCAAGTCACTAAAGTCGATGTTAAAACATCGCTGAAACTGGCATCGATGTATCGTCAATTTAGCGATTTTAGGAAATTGTAAACATCGATGGCAAACATCGAATTTTGAACCGATATTATCGATGTTTCAAAAATATCGATGCATCGTTTGCATCCCTAATTATTATGAGAATGAGAGTGTAAAGTATTGTGGCGAATACTGCGGCAACACAAAGCGAACAACGAGAAATAGGCAGAATGTTCGAAGAATGACGTAGAATGTTCCACAAAGAGAAACGTCAAGTTGGATGAACACTGCGAACAGCGAGAGAAAGAGAATGAGCGATAAACTTCAGAACGTTCTAGAGTGTCCATAAGTGTGAGCGCAGGTATATAAGAGCCACGACACAGCGAAGTTGGGACTGTTACAAGTCAGCAAGCTACAAGTAAAGTGAGCGGAGAATTGAGTGGCGAATAAGCAAGCTATAAGTTTAATTGTGTTAACAAGTAGTAAAGCGTTGTTATTGCTTTAACAAGTATTGTAAAGTGTTTTTTACTGTATTAGCAAGTATTGTAAATTGTTTGTTGTACAATAAAGTTAATTGTACTACAATTTGGTCATCGTTAGCATTTATTTAACAATCCAGCGATACGAGTCCGAGTATATTTGGGAGATCTCTCAAGGTTTCGAGGATAATCGTAACAATTGGTGTCAGAAGTGGGATTGTTAAATAAATCCCGAAGGATAAACTACTGAAAATGGCGAAAATTCAGGACTTAAAGATTGAGGAGCTGAAACTGGAGTTGGAAAAGCGTAATTTGGCCACCTCCGGAAGAAAAGTGGAATTATTATCCCGGTTGCGGGAGGCTATAGAAGCTGAAGGCATCGACGTGGACAAATACGACTTCCAAGGTAAACCCGACGATACATCCGCAAAGGACGAACAGAAGGATGAGGCTGCATGTTCGTCAAAGGATGTGCAACAGACATCCGGGAAGGTTGAAGAACAGCAAAATGCTCCTTGTGCATCAACAGGTATGGACATGAACACGTTATTGGCTGCCATGTCACAGATGATGCAGGAACAGAGGTCGCAGTTGTCGTCAGACGTTTCCTCACAGATGCAAGCCTTGGAAACACGTATATCTTCCGAGGTATCAGCGCAGGTGTCATCGCAGGTGTCATACCGGTTAGAAACTCAGCTACAGGCACAGGAGGCACGCATATCATCACAGCTGGAAGCACAGGATGAAAAAATTACACAAATACAGGACAAACTTGAAGAGAGACAGGAGAAAGTCGAGGCTAAGGTAGAAGAGTTGGAAGGTCGCCTCCGAGATATGCAGTTGAATCGCCCACCTTCTTCGACCAGCGCGCCCAAGGTAAAGACTCCATCCTTTGACGGCACGATTCCTTTCCAAGTCTTTAAGCTCCAGTTTGAGAAGACAGCTACAGCAAATCACTGGAGCATGGAGGATAAATCCGCTGCATTGTTCGTTGCATTAAAAGGACCTGCAGCGGAAATCTTGCAGACTATTCCTGATTGTGAAAGGAACAGTTACGATGCGTTAATGGGTGCAGTGGAAAGACGTTATGGTAGCGAGCACAGGAGACAGATTTACCAGATGGAGCTGGAGAATCGCTGCCAGAAATCCAACGAGACTTTACAGGAATTCGCCTCTGAGATTGAAAGGCTGGCTCATTTGGCAATTGGAGACGCATCTGGTGAGCACCTTGAAAGAGTAAAAATCCAGAGGTTCATCAACGGAATGCGGGACATGTATACCAAGCGAGAGACGTACGCGAATCCAAAGGCAACATTTGCTGAAACCGTCTCGTATGCTCAGACGCGTGAAACGGCGGCGCTCCTAAGTAGACCAGCCTACAAAGCACATCGTGTGGAAGTGGAAGCACCGGAAGACACAAATGAAATGCTGAAGAAGATTATCCAACTGCTGGGCGAGAAAAAGCATGGCTCCGGCAAATGTTTTAAATGTGGAAAGCCAGGCCACTTCGCCCGCGATTGCAGCGCAAATTCCAGTGGGCTCAACGATTCAGCAGGA